TAAGAGATTCTGCAGGTTGATCAAAATATAAGAGGACATCATATAGCCCAGTCATATGTTCTTGTCCATAGATTTCTATCCTGGGTTTTGTCTGATCCACTCCACTAGAGGTTCTCAACACAGAGAAATGGCCTCTGTTTTTCAATCATCGCTGTGTTTCATGATATGTAGAGCACGCCAAAAAATTGTTTTGTGTTTGTCTGTCCTGAATATAACAGGTCTAAATTTATAAATCGAGCTCAAATGTTCCCCCACTCTTTTGGGTGTGATTGGAGCATAGCTCCAACAGCCCACACTCAGAAGGGAGACAGGGTGTCAAGACCCCATCTAATCCATTCCTCCCCTTCCTTGGCTGAAACAGAAATAAGCGCTTCTCTTCAGCCGGGGGAAGATCTCTTCCTCACACTATCCAATTGTCAGCAGGCAGATGTAGAGGAGCTGACTGCTCTTTTTGCATCGTATCAAATTGATAATCTGTCCCAGGCGATGTGTTAGATTTAAGGTTAGAGATAGGATTATGTATTTCCTCACTATGTGTTACTTCAATTCATATATTCTTATGGTCAGTATTTTGAACAGGTAGCAAAGAGGTAACATTCTGTTCAATTTAAATTACAGTTAAATTAAATACATTTTTTTTTAAATATATTCAACGAAGGTTGCTGGTCTTTCCTTAATTGATCATGCAAAAGCCTTCCCGCTGGAACAAGAATTGTATTCATTTTGGATGTGGCTTGTCTTTTAGTCTTCTTGCTCATATTTTCATCGGCTCCCAATTCATATTAGTTTTGCGACAGCAACTTAATAATAATAATAATAATAATAATAATAATAATAATAATAATTCCTCACACTTCTATAGCGCTTTTCTGGACACTCCAAAGCGCTTTACAGGTAATGGGGATCCCCTCCACCCCCACCAGTGTGCAGCCCCACCTGGAGGATGCGCCAATCCGCTCCCCACACACCAGCTCTCAGTGGGGAGGAGAGCAGAGTGATGGAGCCAGTTCAGAGATGGGGATTATTAGGAGGCCATGACTGGTAAAGTCCAGGGGGAAATTTGGCCAGGACACCAGGGTAACACCCCTACTCTTTTCAAGAAACGCCCTGGGATTTTTAATGACCACAGAGAGTCAGGACCTCGGTTTTACAACTTGAATTTTGTTTCGGCTTTGACGGCTTGCAGATTAGTTATTTCTGCTCTAATTTTTAATAAATTCTTTATAGTTTTTGAGCAGGTCTTTTTAATAATCTTGCTCAATATATTTTAATCCAGGTTGCCGTTTTCTCAAATTGGCCTGTTTCTTATATGAGCAAATAGAGACGCCCCCCCTCCAAGCCCTGCTTTTATTGCACCCCATAATATTGCCTGGGACGCCTCCTCTGTGTCGTAGTTTTGCAAAAATAATTCCATTTTCCTGTTTAATTTGCTCTTTGATATTAATGTTATTGAAAACAGCGTAGTTCATCTTCCAGAAACTGTGGTATTTCTTTTTAATTCTAGTCTTAAATTAACTGGTGCATGGTGAGATTGATCAATTATTTCAATTTCACATTCCCCTCACTCATTTATAGTCTATTCTCTCCACAAGGAGCTCGTGTCCTCTATGTGTGCAGTCCCTCCCTGTCGGACCCTGGTCTCTCCACACATCTTACACGCCTGGGTGTCCAGATGAGACACAAGATGTTTATTACATCTACTTTCTGCGGCTTCTCATTATAGATGTAAAGGCTATCCAGTTTTGAGTTTAGACAAAGATTAAAATGCCCTCCTGAAATGAGCAACCCAATTATTGCAGTAAAAAAAAAACCTCAGTTGCTGATACTTCATAAAATTAAAGCCGAGCAAATAAGCAATCTTCTATTAACCTTTAAAATAAATGGACCTTCTGGGCCTTTACGCATCTATGATAAATAAATATTGAGACTTCACAGCAGTCAGAACCTGTAACAACGCCCCTTTCATGACTTGCATGCTCAAGGACAGGCAGCGCTTGATCAAACCCGACCACTTCAGTGAGAGTCGCTCGCTGTCGGAGAGACGAGCCCCAAGTGGGAGTACGACTTGTGCCCTGTCTTTTCGATTGAGTCTAATTAAAGTTTTGACTTCTGTAGTTCACTTCTGTTAAAAGAGCTCACTTTACGGTCTTGTGACGCCATGTTTGTTCAGAATAACGGTGCAGGCATGTCAATTACGATCGCTACACTCGGTTCGTTTGATTAATTGTACGAGGCCTTTCAGGGTATCAAAAATGAAATTATGGAAATTCACATCTATAGTTCAGACATCGCCGCGGTCAAAGAGAAAAGGCATATGAACACCAACATCGCTCTAGATGCATTTACAGATGTAGGGCTAAAAAGAGGAGCGAGGTGCCACCAGTTTAACCCACGGGACTTGGTTTAAATCCCAGTCACCTGCCAGGCGAGACGATGGAAAGCTGGGGTCTGGTTTTGCTGGGGTGTCGGGTTCTGTGCGGCTCGATTCTCGAAGCGGTCCGCCGGGTACCGTGTCCGACTCCCTCCTCGGGGGCCTCTCCTGTTCCGGTGGTCAAGCACAGCTGCACCCCCGGAGTCTGGGCACACGTTGTTTCCCCCTTTTGGCCAAGCTTGTTTTCCCAGCAACTCCAGGATTGTATAGTGATTCAGGACACCAACACTATATATGAATAATTCCAGTGGGGGGTCAGAGCTTAACCTTACAATGAGGTTTGACATCATTTATAAGAAAAAAGGAGTGACTGGTCATCCAATTTCCCTGGGTGAAAAAGTTAACACCCCCCTTTTTCTCAGTCCATGCAATTAAAGGGATCACGAAGGCCAGCTGTGTACATAATTAAGCAATCAGGGCCTAACAAGCTCTGGCAGCACCTTGGCCATTGTGCCACACAGCTTAGAGAGGCCTGGTCACGGAGGGGGGAGCTCGGAGCAGTGTCCGAATATGGGGCTCACCCACACTCCTGAGGAGTCTCGGGCACCCCAGCCTCTGGGCAACTCCGAGCCAGGGACAGAGGCACAAGTCTGACCACCTGCCACACAGACCCCGGACCTGGCGGTCAGCCACACGCACCTGGACACCAATTAGAGGGGAAAATAACCCGGTGTGCGACGCAGGAGCGCCTGGAAGGACTTTCATACGAGTCCCCACATCTCAATCAACACAACCGCAGAGGTCAGTCCCTGCGTTGTGGGAACTAGGAACAGGCTCTCACAGCTCGGAAGTTTTTTCTAAAAAAAAATTTATTCTGGGGAAATAAAAACGAGAGACGAGGGCAAACGGCCCCGCAGGCCAGTTCCAGACGCAGGACAGAGGAAGAGTGTGGTCAAGGGGCCGCAGCGAACAGGGCTGGCGTGGAGAACACAGAGGGATGTGGGGTGGGAGTGCAGGGTGGGGGCAGGGAGAGGATCCGGGGGGAGAGGGAGGCACTATGGGGCACTTGGCGGAGGCGGGGGCAGACCCCCGGGGCCTTCGGCTGGCAGGGGAGGCCGCAGGAGGGGGGGCATGGGCGCAGGAGGGGGGATGCCTGGGGCAGGAGGCAGCTGGGGGGGCATTTGAGGGGGAGCAGGCGCACCGGGGGGCAGGGGGGGCATGGGCATCCCTCCCGGTGGAGGGGGGGGCATGGGTTCGCTGGGCGGGGGCCGGGGAGGCATCCCTCCCATCAGGGGAGGGGGTCTCTTCACTCCCATCGGGGGCACCGGGCCATTGGAAGGGGGCAGAATCTTCTCCATCTTGAAGTGGAACTGCAGGAAGAACTGGAGACAGAGAGAGACACAGGCGGTTAATACAGACACTGGGCACAGCCAGACCACCAGAGCTACTGCCCTGATGTCCCATTAAAACATTAAAACCCAGTCTTAAACATTACTCTGCCTTTAGGTCCACCTGCCAGGTGCGTGTCCCTTACCTGCTTGGTCTCTCTGTTCCAGTGTGTCCAGAAACGGTTCTCGCCCTTGTCTATCTCCCTGCTGGGCACCTGAGGGCAAATCAGATCAGTTTGATTAACTGGGGACCAACCCGAGTCTCCTTCTCAGGCCTCTCCTCAGCAACCAGGGGCAAACAAGTGTAAAAACCACCAAAAACACTTTTATCCTTCACCAAGTGAGTGAAATATGTAGGTGAGAAGGTCAAGGTTGGGACAAAAGCTGCAGGCTGTTCTTTGTAAGCCAACACAACAAGCAGAAACAAGCGATTTCTGTCAGGTTACATTAGTTTTTAAAAAGAACGTAGAAAGAGACAAGACATGGAGCATATTGGCTTTTATGCTACTAAAGTTAATTGCTCCCCAAGACCGTATATCTCCTAAATCCCTAAACCCAGAACTGGAACTTTCCGGAGTCTCAATGACCACTCATCAATGACCCATCCAACGCCCGTCCCCCCCGCACACCTTGAAGGCGATCGTCTCGTAGGGCTCGGCAGCCAGGAGCAGGTACTGCCAGCGCCGGTCAGGGGGCTCGATTCGCTGCTCATACGCCGACATGAACCGGTGACGAGGGGCGATGCCTTCTGCGATCTCGGGGTAATCGATCTGGGGAGACAGGGAGCTCACAGTGTGTCTGCTGTATCACTCCTGTGCTGAGGGGTCAGTGTGTCTGCTGTATCACTCCTGCGCTGAGGGGTCAGTGTGTCTGCTGTACCACTCCTGCACTGAGGGGTCAGCAGAGACTGGGGTGTACCACTCCTGCACTGAGGGGTCAGCAGAGACT